AAATTCATTATTTTTTAAAAGCGTCAACATTCATTAAATGCTAATTTACACGCTACAGATGTTTGAGATAGATAAGAACTTGTATTTCTTTTAAAAGGCTTCGGGAATATCATTTTTTATTTGTCTTAGTGCGTACACATTATATGCATAGTGCATATTTAGCGTATGTTCAACATATAAGTACGTACGCGGCATATTAATTGATGGTAAAACTGAACAACTTTCTCGTGTCCATTTCATTTCCAAATCACGCTTACTCACGCTTTTACACTCATACGTAAGTAGGTGCATTGCAACGATACAATTATGCGATTGAAACATATATCGTAAATAGAAAGAAGTAATTTATCGAAAATATCTTGGAAAAGATAGTTGAAGTAAGCACTTTCATTAATTTAATAGGATTAATAGCTTTTATTTTTTCAATATTTTTATTTGTCTCATTATTATCGTGTGCATCAGAAATCGTAAGATAAAAATTGATCACAGGACAAGATAAGTACTGTAGTTAAGTGATAAACAAGTGACCGTATCACTTGCATGCATTTTTTATATCTAGTCACGCTAATACACTTGATGCAATGTTAAATATTAAATTCGTGTCTTTTTTGTATTAAATGTACACGTATCACAGACATTGATTTCAGCAAAGATATGGCACACCACTATGCTATACAGTTTCAAACACATATGTTTATACATAGAATATGAATTTGTTACTCAGTTCTGGATTTTTATCCTTATAAACAAGCTTTCAGCTTTAGCAACCATATAAAAACAAGAATTATTAGTATCAGCCTTCTGTTCGATAAAGGAATTCTTTTTACGTCTTGTTTCATAAACGATCTAAGAGCATATTTAACAAGGATATAAAATAGGGCTTGTTATACGTATTAAATTATTCGAGTTTTGTGACACGTACAAAGTCTGTAATAACTTAACCGGGATTTATAGATCGTTTCGTAAATTGTACAAACATCTGTTTGACTAGTTCCTATAATCGCTGTTTTAATCAGTTACGTGATTCCTCATACTTAGTGTTATTACTCAAAATGATGTCGAAAAATAATGTTCTCTGTACTTTTACTACGTTTACAATAATTCTCTGTTTTCTTCGAGACTTTTTCCAAAGTAACAATTCTGAAAATTCTTCTAATTATTTGATACACTTTATAGAAATATCATATCAGTATGACTTAAAATATATCAGTCATATTAGTTACCAAATACAGACATAAAAAGTGACCAATACATACTTTTACCTACTGGCCTTAAAAAACGTACGATATCAAATAAAATCATCAATCATTATAAAAATGTCAAAAACATTCAAAAAATGATATATCGTTCCTCCAAAAATTATTATTTGTAAAATAATCGATCTTAAAATCTTTTCTCTCCTGTTTATACAAAAGTATCCCTAATTAAATAATATATATTATGCTTCTGTGTTTGCCGTCTCCCAAAAATAATAACTAAAGACTTTTATTATTGTACTTTAGTAATATGCGTACTTTAGTTAAGTAATTATGATAATAATCGAAGACAAATCGACTTCTCTTATGTAATTCCCCCAAAAATCATGCAATAGAAAAATAACAATGATTTGTCCTCCAAAAATTTAGTTCGGCCCCTAGTCAATTTTTGCTTGACTATTTAAAAAAAAAAATTTCTTCAATAGTATAGCTACGATCGGGTAAGACATGAAAATAATATGGCCGCAATAGTAAACGGCAGAATAGACCTTATGATAACGAGAATACGATAGGAACATAAAACCGACAAGCGCGTAACCCATAAAGATAAGCGAGAACACCTTCATGAAAATCCAAGTTAGAATTCGAAGTTCGAGTCGCCTTTCGATCAATCTTTTTATCTTCTCTTGCTTCTCCAATATTTCAGTCAACTATAAGAATTAACAGAAAATTATACTTACGTTAATAATATTCCGTTGGCAGTAAGTAAATTATCACTTAAAAAATGAGAAAATCATTTCAGTGAATCAATATGTCAGGAATGAATAAAAAGTTAGCTATTAAATAGTTATTCGCCACAGTTGATCTACTAGATGATCTAGAGAGTCTAATTGTTCTATAATTATTTTTACGAGGAAACAGCATTTGCATAAAAACAAAGTTAGACTTACATCTTTCTCAGCGTATATGATAATAAATTCCAAGAAGAAGCACATGTAATATCCCGAATGAAATCCGTGCCAGATTGACAGGAATAACAGCGTAAAAAATTGACTGTACACCTTCGATCCCATAAATTTCAATCTTTTGTAAATATATTCCGCGCACCAGGTATTAGTGTTAATATTGAATGACATAACGTAATCGTTGAACGTGATCCCGGTTTCAAACTGTAGCAGTCTAACATTTTCGCAGCCGTTCCAAGTCGGTTTACCACTTTTCTCCTCTCCATTGAAAGTTAAACCGAACATAGTGCAAACCTACAATTAAATTTACTTTCCACACCATCAAGGAATTAAATAATTAATTAAAGAATGAAAGGAGCGAGAATATTTTTTGATTAATAAAACGTAGCGAATGAAATGGTCGCAAGTATCCTTCTTACCCCTTCAGCGAGCAACCAGATACAAACGTATTTGTAAAGATGAAAATGTCCCCAAACGCCGATTAAAAAGAGACGTATGAAAAAGTTGTATTGTCGATAATCATCGCTTAATAAGCAGTCGTGTGGAACGTAATTAGTACCTATGATATAGAGTACTATGTATACGAATCCTATAAAAATACGGAAAATCCCGTATAGGAAGCAATCGCGAAATTTGATTAAGTATTTCCCATCAGAGCTCTGTAGTTAGAAATTAAACGAATTATTTATATTCTACATAATTTGTTTTATGAGTATTTCGATGATACGACTTACGGAATCCCTGACGTGCGTTATATCTCGCCCGTGCACATAATCCAAGTACCTTTTCATGCTGAACTGAGGCCCAACGAGAAACGCCCCTGGAAAATAAGTATATGCCGCGATCTCGTAAAAAGTCGGTTTCTCCTTCAACGCCACTTTTTTCTGCGGCACAGACAATTTTTCCTGAAACGGTAATCCCATCTGATTTTAATTTTTATGATCTCTAAATGGGAAGCAGCGTGGATATAATTTCGATAATTCGTTGCTTTTTCTCGCACGTACCCCGGGCGTCTGTCCATCCATCAAACTATACGCGAGTCCTATTAATCTTAATGTCAACACGCATTGTGGCATAGTCCACTTTATATCATAACTTTGGGTACTTGTTTCGTAATATCCTGTCAAAGACGAAATCGAGTTCAAATTGTTAGTTAATTAATTGAGAAATTCCTGATAATCGACTTTACTCAATTCGCGCGATTACTAAATAAGGACTCGCAGCAGTGTGATAATCTTTCGATCGCTAATCATTTTGCACTATTTATTTATTCAACGTCTTTATTTTAAAGATAATTATCATCAACGCGACTGCGCTAATTGAGATCCGCGAGATTTCTATGGAACTCGCAACACGGTGATAATTGTTCCTTGTAAAATTATTCCATTGCGAATTGCTTTTTGTTTTGTAACAGTTAATTCACAAATAACAATATTGATCGTATGATTTCGATACTAAACATTCAATCATTTCGAGATTCGGTTTATCTCGACGTTCGAACGAGTATAGGTTTTCTCACATTGCTGTTTGTACCGATTTATCTCAAGTATTGCGCGACGGTAATAAATTAGAATTTCTTCATACCATATAGAAGATAACCCATGGTGAAGACAAAAGTTAAAAAAACGGATAATTTTGTACCACCAAAACGTTTCAAGATGAGATACGTGACGTATATCGTTGTTACTGAATGGATTGTTTGAAATCCTGCAAGTATCGTTTACTATTAAGTTCACTTACAATATTTATTTCCTTTTAAACTTCAATCAATATTTACATTTGTTAAAATTAAAATGTAGATTGATTTATTTTTCTTTAAATATTTTGCTAGTGCCAAAGTAATTACCGTAATTCCATGTACAAATCAGAAAGCCACAGGTCATGAAAAAGATATGTTGACATTTTGGGCATTTTCCATATAACGTGAGTCTATGCAGAAGAGCGATAGGTACTCCTGAAAGTTTATTTTAATTTACGTTACTTTTGCATTTTATCGATATATCTTCAGATGCTTTATATACATTATGCATAGATTTTATGGATTTGTTAGTTTTAACCGTTGGATGCCAGGTTGTTATACTAAAAGATATTTATATGTAAATATTTCAACAGAAATTGCATGATGATAAAATGATAACAGGATGAAAATGATTTTGCTCCATATTATTTCACCTGATTGATACTTATTACTATTAATAGAGAGTGATAGGTTTTAGAATCATCTACTAATTTCATTTTAATTTGAAATTAATATTTAGTTATAAGAATATTTAAACAAATACAAATTAGATGAAATCTTTTTGTGAACCAAACGTTACAATAATTTCATATATAAAACAGAATTAAAATATAAAAACTTGTAGAATATTTGAGATAAAATAATAAAAGAAATGAAAATACAATTTGAATGGGAATGGGAGAGAAATAAGATTACCAGTCAATGAAATGACAGTTTAGTTTTTATTCTTACAATCGTCAAACACATATAATAACATTAATCTTCAAAAAATCAATTCGGTATTATTCCGTTGCTAAAATAGGTAACAAAGTTTAGCATTAAATTACGCACATTATAATTTGGTGTCCAGTTGTTTTCGTATAAAACTTTTAATCAGCAATGAAAATTGGAGAACACAAACAACAGAGAGTGTCATATTCTGATAATAGTTATCATTGTCGATGTATTTTAATTCAGGAACAGATCGCACACGCATGCGTGATGCTATTATTTATAAACAGTATGATCTCCAAAATATTTCACCGGAGATACCGTAATTTCAATTAAAAGCTGAGAACCATTCAATGAATGAAGACTAAATACGCGATAAATAAATAGGAATGCGATTCGGTTATGCAGTCGATGGTTAAGTAAAAGCAAATGAGTCCAGGTTATGTTAAAGCAATTTAATGATACAATTTTTTGCACGACATGAGACAGAAAGATATCGAAAGGAGAAGAAAGCAATTCTTTTTTTAACAAGTTTAATTACCGAGCAGAATGGAGAAAGTTAGCCGAATCGCAGCTTCGGACATGTTTAGACTGTGTGACAAGCTTGATAAAATACCGCCCGACATTCTTGTTCCTTTACCAGAGTTTTGGTCCTTACTTCTTAGTTACTTTATCTTCTTCGAAAAGTTCTACAACATTCCTATCAAACTTTTTTTTACCGAGGATAAATCCACTTAACTTTCTCAAGTAATATCATAGATCGTCGTCGTGTCACCTCGAAGGTTATCAGAGATCAATACTAAAACCCGTGGAAAATGTGAGATCTTGGTATAACTGAGTAAAGCGTTCCGAAAGACGTTCGACTATAGCTTTTGATAAGAGCACGATTTTGTCAATAAATCACGACGGAAAGTTTCATATCGAAACGAGGACACTTTTGCTATGCACAGTCGAGAAATTCAAACGTATTGTACAATGTGACGACTAGAAAAAAAGTTGAAAATAAGTCGAGCAAGTGATATATTTAAGAACACTAAAATTCCAAGTTCATTATCTATCGCATTTTAATTGTAGCGATTGTAGCTATCGTTCTAACAAGTTTTTGTAACATTGTAACTAATACAGTTTACTCAAAAGTTAATTTTCCTTTCGAAAACAGTTTCACGTTTAAATTATTAGCGATAGTTTGTATAATTTATTAATGCGGCAGGAATTAATATTTACAAAGAAATCTGCAATTTGTACGTACTTTGCTTATATTCTGGATTTTTATGGGAGAGGGATAAATAAAATATGACCAATAAATTGCTGGAAATAAATAATTCTTTAATAATTTAACTCGTGTCACACTATACATATAAAACATATCATAGGATTCGATGAGTGGCAGTTTTCCAATAACAAACATACTATACTCGTTTGAACGCGACTTTTACAATCGAAGAATTGAAAATTAACTAACCCTTCGCAAAAATTCCCGTTACGAGATAAACGCAAACATCGCAAAAATATTAGTAATGTAGCTCTACTGTCTGTTCGTCAGCGATAAGTAAAAATCCTGATTACGGAACAGCATGAAATTTCGATAACTGTGGAGTAATTTTACATTTTACAAAATATATCTAATGAAATACCAAAATAAGTTTATTCCTAATCCGAAAGGTAAACTTTCCGGATTCGTTCCTATTTCGAAATGATCTACGAAGGGCAGAGATACGAGGTGTCCCAGTACAGTCCCGCCAAATGTTAAATGTTATACAAAAATAGACTTAAACATTTCATTAAAGAGCTGCGAGAGACGTATCAAATAATGATGGAACTGGTTTTCATTTCTGTTAACTTTATTCCAAAGTGTTCCTTCGGAATAGGCTGATGTCTTTTGGCAGGTAAAATCTGTGACACCTTGCGTACATATCGTTAGTGTAAAAGATCATCTCTAATATAGAGACAATGAACGAAACCTTCTATATCGTTTTATACGGGGTGCTCTATCAAAAGGTGATTACTAATAAAGAAAAATGCAACATTCATAGTTGGTAAGAAATAGTCTCAAACGATGCAATTCCTTCAAACAAAGTTTTGTCTAAAGAGGCACTGTTTCGGAAACACCCTGTATAATCTAATTTGTTTTTTCGTTAGAAAAATTGTTTGCTTTCCTTCGATAAGATCGTCGTTTTAGAAAAATATATCGATCATATGTTGTACGCAACAATCGACACTTCAATTGTATTACTTATTACTATTCCATCGTGCACGTACAAAGATTTTCCTCTCACACGTCCACGCATACACACGCAGTCTCATTGACATCCATTTAAAGAAACTTGCTAATAAACAAGAACTACATTAATTTAGCGTTTGATTCTTCTGCATATTTCAACTCTTCGTTTCAACTATCACCGTCCAGTTGATCAATTTATTAAATACTGCGTTGAATAATAAAGATTCGTACAAAATTACGTACACATAACACGTAAGTTATAATAAAGGAAACATCTTAGCTTTGAAAGTTGAAAAGAAAAGTTCATCATTGATTTAACATTAAGAGGCAGGCATCTCGATGAGTCGAATTCCGTTCGTACAAATTCACTTGGCTATGGAATACAATCGGTTTACTAATTAATAATTAATAGGATCGTACGTTAATCTAGTGCCTTAACAAAGAGTCAAATCGACGCTTTAAATTCTAATACTGCCTTACGATTTCTTCTTACAAGCCGATTTTAATATCATTTCTTATCATTCTTAATCAGTTGTAAGGTTTAAAGCAATGATTCGCAATTCTTCTTGGAAAGCCTGGATAGTTCGTGATCTGTCTAAAGAAAATTGCCAATCATCGCTCGAGAAATATCAGAACCGACCGAGTCTTTTTATGAAATTTGATTACTTTACTCGTCCATGGACAGTGCAGTATCTTTAAATCGAATTCATTCGTTTAATCAGTGTCTTTCGTAATGTAGAAAATAATTACTCGTCAATGCTTATGAACCAAAAAGAATTTCAGATCCTCGAAAGAGTTTGATGACAGTTCGATTAATTAATTAATTAATCGTGAACGGAAAAGCGTCACTTTGATTGGTCCACGCAGGGTATGTAAATGGTACCCTGCCATCCAAGAAGATGTTGAAAAGAGAAATAAAAGCTCGGTCGAATAAGTCGATCGTACAATATTATGCTTTACTGACTACGAACAAGATTACACACACTTTCGTTTAACTTTCATATTTTGTTGATAAACTCCAACAGTTCGTCACGTCTTTAATAAAATACCGGGAATTATTTTCCGTCGATTCGATTCACGAAAGTGTCAATTTAATTTTCAGCTATCTCACTATACTAGACTTTGTCTTGCATTTAATTGAAAACTTTGATATAAACTGTTTTTAAAATGTATGAAAATAAACGTATCATTTCCGAGAGGCTTTTCTGATTTCTGGAATCACCGAAAATAAATGTATAGAATTATTTCTAAAATTTTGATCTCGTTTTAAAATAATCCTCCTATGAACAGCTAAATTTTATCGATCCTTAATCAAAGAAAAAATTCACTCCACTAGAATTTAAATGAATAAGTTCATTAATCAAAATAAATTTACTTTTAATCGATCTGGCGCAATGTGCAAATTACCGTCAGGTCCAGAAATCAGAAAGAAACATTATGCATCATTTTTCAAATAGTGTACGGATACTCGGCTAGATAATTTCTAATCAACGGTGGCAAGTGTTTAGTGGGTAATTTGTATTTATTAACGACCAACCTGGCCAAGTGACTAAGGGATCTAACTTCTTTAACTAGAGGCTTGGTCAAATAAATTTCGCTATAAAGTTGCCCGCTGTAATCCACCCAGACCTCTTTTCGATGTTCGTCGACACTTTTCGAATACTCCACGTAGTATTCGAGCATTTTGATAGGACAATCGAAGAGGGGAATCGCGAACGCGAGTCTTGGCTCGGCGTCCAGTCGAAATTGTCCCAAGAAATAGTGAACTCGAACAGAGGTAGGTCCTCTGGCAGTCTGCACGGACACGGCGAACATGTATCTGCTATCGGAACTGTCTCTCATCAGCCATCTGCCCACCGCGGCGTTTTTCAATAAATTCTCGCTCTGCTGCCAGCTGAGGCCTTCGTGGTACCAGCCGCAGGCTTGAAAAAGTCTTTTAACTTCGCTCAGTCTGGCCGCATCCCTGTCTATCATGTATCTGTCGAAACTCCAGGGACACGGCATCAGCCACGAGACAGGCGTGGTCGGTGTTCTATCTCTCCTTTCCTCGAAATTCTCTTCCGCGTCGTTGTTCTGCGGCTCGTTTTTCTGTACCAAACCGCCGCCGTTGAAATTATTCTTGGTTCTCGAAGTGGCGCCTGATAAGGAATTGGGCGGGTTCGTGGTAGTCGCGGTTATATTTACCGTGCACTGTCCCAAGCTCGCTGGAAGCTTTACGGTCGCGTTCACTTGAATCTGTACCCCCGCTGAGTTCGAGTCCGCAACCGCGGGGCTACGGTTCTCCGATACCGGCACGTCATTCGGCTTCACATTGTACAGACTCTGAACGTTGTTGCAGCAGCAATTGAAGTTTCTACCCGACTCCGATTCCTCGGGTTTCCTCGAATTCATAGCTTGCTGGAATTGCATCGGCACATTGATCAAATTCGAGAAAATCGGTTTCTCCTCATTTCCCATTGACGTGGCTCTTCGAGTTCCCGGCAGTTCTTGACAACCACTCGGTGGTATTAAGAACATCCCCTCGTTCCGAGACAAGTTTTCTTGAACAGAAGTTTCTTGACCGTCGATAGACAACGTGTTCCGTACGAGGCATGCACCGCCTGACAGTTTCGGACGAATTTCCACGTGCGGCGTTTGCATGAGCGTTCCCGCGTCCGTGCTTTGTATCACGCAACCTCCGGATTGTATCTTCGGGGTCGTTATCGTTACGCTTCCACCGGTTAAGTCGCAGCTCGTGGTTATTTGACATCCGCCCTCAGTTCTTCGCGCCTCTTCGTTTATCAGCGGCAATTCGAAAAATTGCGTGTCTTTCCCGCAGCTCTGGAACTTCTCGATCCTCGGCTTTTCGAAGTCGAACGTCATCGGCGGACAGTTGAACGAATTTATAACGGGCTGGCTATGAATAATGGTAGGCGCGTTTATGATACAGCCACCGCCGCTATAGCTTTTAGGAACTAACAGGCCACCGTAGTAACAGGTTGTCGGATGGATTAAAGTATTATCTTCGTTCATGTTCTGCGGCTCGCAACAACCTGGTGCTGGGAATCGGTGACGACAGTTCGGGCACATCACTGTCAACATTTTTCATAGGAATACTCCGCCCTCAGCATAACACATCTGCAAACAGAAAGCGTAGGATTTATTTTAAAATAATCTTTCGAAATCGTAGTAATATTGTGTAATAAATTAAAAATAGATCTGGTAACGAATTCAGAAAATATGCATTAACAACTGATCAAAATGCAAATAATGATTACAGATGTATGATCGAAAAAAAAACGGTATCTGCATTAAGCGTAATAGGATTCATCAGATAAACCTATAATAAATCGTGTTCCACTCGATACCTGTACATGATTATTTATAAGTGACTCGCATAATTTACGTAATTGACCGCATTACGTAAGTCATATTCCATGAAAATTTGTTCGAACTAAAAATACTGACACGCCTCCAGAATATTATTTTTCTCGCTGCCTCACGTCGCACGGCTAACGTGCTGTATAGCGAATTTTAAACAATAACGCGTGAAACCTTGAACCTTTGACATTTGCCAATTTACATTTAGTTTAATCGACGGATTCGTGTTAGCAAAATTGAAGTTCGATAATTAGGAAAGGATTATTTCGTAACTGGTTACATGATCCATCTGTATACATTTTCCTGTTACATTATATACGTATAATCGAATTACACATAAAATAATTATATGGTTTATGCAACTGCTTCTCGTTCTAGGAATAAAACGTTTCGTGTTCGAACGGTGTTCTTATGAGCTTGGTCGACACACGCAAAAAAAAAATAAAGAGAAAACAGTGAATAATTGTGCGTTACGTAGTAAACAAAGGAATTCCAATGAAATCAAATTACTTCCAATCCTTGGGAAACTCGACGATTAGTAATGCTTTAGTGGAAATCGTTTCGAAATCAATTCCCTGATAATTTAAACAAACAAAGCAGGAATTAGGTTCTCTAATTAATACGACAGAGCGTTTTCATTTTCGATTTTCAAAAATTACTCATTACACAAAATGAAAACACCGTGAATCTTGAAAGTAACTGTTGAGCAAATCTTATCATATTTTCTTTTGTAATTGAAATAATTGGCGTACTCGCAATAGTGACGTCATGAAGCTTGATAAAATGCAGAAGCATGCGCGTGAAAATGTAACAGATGGAAAAGAGAAAACAAAAATTATCTACCGTACGCAAATCGATTTCTCGTGAACACAATCTCCCTCTCCCATCCCTGCCGACTCACTCGGTTGACATAAGAGTCCGTTGACCCTGTCACTGTTTCAGTTATTTAAATAATAACAGCCGAACATCAGCTGACACTTCCATAGAATAGGAACTTTTTATAGTTTATATAAGCAACCGCTGCACTCAACCTTTTCTTATGCAAGAATTTCTCTTTCGACATCCAACATTCAAGCCTTAGTATTTCTTCTTCTAAAGATCATTAATAATAAGTGTCTAATACATTCATTCACGTTTTATACTAATCTTTCATAGATCGTTGGAAATAGACGATGGTATTATAAGTTTCACGTCTGATTTCATTCAAGGTTTATTAGATTCATTATACAGTAACGATCATATTTTCGAGAAGTTGTATAACTCAAGTACCATCCGGGGAAGTTGATTGTAGTGAGCATTTGGATAGTTTGGTGTACACGTGTACGCGCGCACTTCCACGTACGAGATGACAATTCATAGTTCGAGACCAGGTGCCGCATTCTCCCGTGATCTCGACACAGGAATAGAGTCGCATCTTTCGACATCGTCCGCGCACACAACGCAGCTGCCTTCTTTTCCCATTGTGCTTTAATGGGCCACGTGGCAGAGCGACGTGCGTGTGTTAGTAAAGCGGCACGGAGCCGCTTTTCCACGAACGTGTCGCAACGCCAGAAGGCCAAGCCCCCATTTAGAAGTTGTTCTTGGCCTCTCCAACTTCCCACCATCTCTTTACCCCACTATCAGCCTCGCCGACCAACTGACAATCCCTGCCCCCGGCCAGCCCCGCCGCGACACTACTACTGGTTTTCCTATTATCAATCATATAATCCCTGAGCTTTTTCCAAATATTTGCTCGCCTCGCGCGAGATAAACCGCCCCGGCCTCTCGTGTGTGCGCAACTAAAAAGCCAAACCTTGAATGATAATATAAAAATACACCGCGTATCTTTATTCGCTTCAATTTGACGAACAAACATTTGATTTTGCTAAAAAGATGTTCAAACACAACGTCGTCGTTGCAGCAATGAGAAGTTTTCGACTCGGGACGATGAGTACATAGAATTTTTATCGGTAATTTTAAAACATCTCTTCGCAAATTGTTACATAATTTGCAAAATTTGTTAGAAGACGCGAACTGTTACACACGGCGAGGTTCGCCGTTGTAAACACCGACGCGGACGTAGAAAGGAATCATTGTTCTCCCAGGACGCAATAGTTCTAGGGAACAAAACATTTTCCCCGGAATCATTGTCGTGCCACGATTAAGAAACCTATAACAGTTACAGTAAATATTCATCGTCCCAAATGAACGCGTTGATGCCGTTTGTCGATTTCGAGAAACGATTTCGCGCCGCGTCATCGATGAATTGGTATTATTAACCGGAACCCCATAATCATTTCCACCAAACTCTTTCATGTTTTACTACCACTTCAACTCCTGTTATCAATAACGAAATTACGATGTATATAAATATATTGTCGGAGCCTATGATGATAATTACCGTGATAACATTCCAGGAACGCACAATTCCAAATACGAGGCCAATGAAATCATATCAAACGTGCTTCGGATAAAAGTAATAAATATGAACATTTTTTTATCAACAATCGTTTTTTCTTTATTCGAAAGAACTCGATCTCTTAATTAAATTAAGATAACGTAATCCTACTTGATCTTCTAATCAGACGAACAGAATTTATAT